TTTCACTTCGTAAGGTTAAAAGACACTTTGCAAAATAATTTAATTCGCGATGGTGACACTACTGGCGATAGATATTTCGTCAAATAACAGCCAAACCCGACTCCTCCAAAGAAACATATCTTGTTGTCTTATTACAGAAGACAATGAGTCGGTTCTGTTTATTTATTGTTAAATAATAAAATACTAACCAACGGCTATAAGCACACCAAGAACAACATAAAAATCACTGGCGACTAAACGAAAGACATTGAACTTTGAAATCATCGTTGTATGTATAAAAGCGATTTGGAGTGTTGTTTTGAATTAATGTGTTGTCTTTCTATAGTAATACATATTACAATAATAAAATTATAGTAATACTATAATGGTTCTATATTACTATAGTATTCTAGTAAATAATAAGAACATTTACTAGAGAAAAGTACAAAAATGATATAAAAATAGAACATATAAATATAATAATTTATAATATATTTTCCCTGAGGTTTAAGGAATATTTGTCGAATTATAAACAATTATTTTGTAACTAGAAATATGTTTCTGTAGAAACTATTTTTAAATTATGATTTTTTGTAGTTTAGTTATTAGTATTCAGTTTGTTCATTCATTAAATTATAATAAAACTAAAAAATATTTAAAAAAATAATAAAATGGAAAAGAGTAATTTATTAACTTTGATAAATCAAAGTATTATTATAACTAAACAATATATGATATTTTATATATCGCATATTTTACAATCAAATTGTATTATTATTGACAAAATGACAAATTCGTTTTATCAAACTATTGCTAATCGTTTTGGTTACTAAAATTGATTTATTTTGGATTCGGAGATACAACTTTCTCAAATATAAACTTGTGGACTTTTTGAATCTGGTTGGTATAATAATAAAGATTACAAGTATAAAAATAATTAAAAAAGTTAATAAAAACTAATTATTGATTTTTTATAATTGTTATTTATTTTTGCATAAGTTATAAACCGGTTTTTCTTGATATAAAACTGTTTTTGTTTTTGTTTTTTACTACTTTTAATAGTATAAATTATTATATTATTATTAAATAATAAACTGCATATTAAGTAGGACTGT